TTTTTTTTTTTTTTTTTTTTTTTTTTTTGTAACACCTCATTTGTTCCCTTTTTTTTGTTATATATAAAATTATAAAATTGTACAATTATAAATTGGTTTGAGGGAAACGCGCGCTAGTCATTAATTAGCGCATTGCTCAAATGGCCGTTTGGTGTAAACAAGTTTAAAACAAAAAAAAACACATAAATGGTTTTGGCGGAGGGAGAGTAAGGAAGTGCCCGTTTGGGAAGGGCCGCACATATGGCTTTCCCCCTATTTGAATACAATGGTCAAACGGAACTTCAAAAAGAATGGGTGTGCTCGTAAGGTGTCAAATGACGCAGGTCACAATGACTGGGAAAACTAAATTACAAATAAGACGATATGACAGACTTTATTTGTTCAATTTTTTGCTCAACATTTTCGATAAATGTCTTTCCTTGAGAATTTTTTTTTATAACTTTTACAACGTCGATTTCGTACAGGAGCGGCTATTGGGGGGGGTGGAAAGGGAAATTATAAAATTGTGGTTTTGCACAGCGGGCGGGGAGAATTACACGCAACGAAGGCAAATAGGCACTATTTTTTTATATGTCTATTTTTTTTTTTTTTTTTTTTTTTTTTGTAACACCTCATTTGTTCCCTTTTTTTTGTTATATATAAAATTATAAAATTGTACAATTATAAATTGGTTTGAGGGAAACGCGCGCTAGTCATTAATTAGCGCATTGCTCAAATGGCCGTTTGGTGTAAACAAGTTTAAAACAAAAAAAAACACATAAATGGTTTTGGCGGAGGGAGAGTAAGGAAGTGCCCGTTTGGGAAGGGCCGCACATATGGCTTTCCCCCTATTTGAATACAATGGTCAAACGGAACTTCAAAAAGAATGGGTGTGCTCGTAAGGTGTCAAATGACGCAGGTCACAATGACTGGGAAAACTAAATTACAAATAAGACGATATGACAGACTTTATTTGTTCAATTTTTTGCTCAACATTTTCGATAAATGTCTTTCCTTGAGAATTTTTTTTTATAACTTTTACAACGTCGATTTCGTACAGGAGCGGCTATTGGGGGGGGTGGAAAGGGAAATTATAAAATTGTGGTTTTGCACAGCGGGCGGGGAGAATTACACGCAACGAAGGCAAATAGGCACTATTTTTTTATATCTCCATTTTTTTTTTTTTTTTTTTTTTTTTTTTT